ATGTTTCCACATACAATATTAAGTAGGAACGGCTATGTCAATTTTGGCATGATACAACCAAGGACATAAAGTGGTCAATGTTAAATGCACAATTCCAGCAGTGAGTCCCCAAATTCGATATTCACGAGGTGTGTACGGCTGGTGGCTTGACGACGATATGACCGTGAATTCAGTACTAGTGAAAGCTGGTAATATCCAATCACCATTTTCTGAATAACAACTTATTACAATCAGACAATCCACTAAAAGAAATACTTTGATAAGAATAATAATGACCGATGAACTAAGAGTAATAATCACACGAGAGAACAACACCAGTAATCAGATAACGATGACTAATAACCTCGTTTGAAATGTGTATATCGGTATTTTGTGCACAATTCTTGAATCGGTACCGTGAATATTGTTTGCACCTCATTTGTCTGCGGCGCTAATGAGCTCAACTCTGAGTCGTTCACGAGGCCAACTACAGGCGTTACTGTCGAACGTAAACTTCTCGTTAACATCGGTCTTAGCTTCGACCAAATTTGCACGTTTGCCGGCTTGATACCAATCTCTTCAGCACTTTCACGCAGTGCACCCTTACAATTACATAAACACTTACAATTCACAAAAATCGCACAAAAAACTCCAACCATTTATATGCACAACAAAAAAATTGCGATGAGAATGAGATTGTTTGATTGATTAGCAAATGAGATGATGCGCAATTGCATATACTCAACTAGTTCCCGTACACGTGTTTAGAATTCAAATAATTCATGAAAACTACTTTTTCAACTACATTTATAACAAATTTACAAATTATGGCTGAAATTTAAGACGAGCATTCAAACAAATACCTGCAATTGAACTGTTGAGCTCACTGTTGAGCCTACTGTTTGAAAAGGATAGTTTGTCTAACAATAAGTATAGCACAACAATATACTGACTAATCAAATGAAATGAATGAGTTCTGATCAGTCAACGAATCAATCCATCAAAACACCTCACAATATGAAAGCACTGAACCTGCTCGGGTGTTTCCGCAGCTTCCAAACGTCCTCCTGGAAAGCATATTTCACCACGATGACCCTTCAGAATCAACGATCGATGCGTGAACAATATGGACGCTTTCCCATTAACATTGGCCAATGGTACCAGCACAGCACTGCTTCTTTCGAGGCCAGTTTTTACGCGTATACGAAATCGAGGATGTGATGGTGGTTTAGCGCTTCGAACCCGCTCGATAAAAGCCTCCCTCAATCGGTTGTCAAACATAAGTGTGCGACTAGGTACCATCAAACTGGTTGCTCTTCTAGGTCGACTAGCCGCCAGGCACCGTGAGCATGTTGAAGGAATCCGCTTCATTACACAACCAACGTTGTTCCTATGATCCATGTGAAGATTAACTGGTGCAAATAAAACTGGAGGTTTGCGAATGTATTACTCTAATGGAAATATAGCACTCTTCGCATAAAA